CAGGCTTGGTAGGATCACACAGAAAGGCTGGATGCTGAGTTACAGACCATGTAAGAATAAAGCACTGACAAGTGCTCTGCTTTTGTTTTTTCTGGGATTCTAAATGAATTTAAATCGAAGAAATCCAATTACATTCAAATCAGGTCTCTTGCACTCCTCATGCCCACGCCAAGATCAATATGAAAATAAAAAGAGGTAAGGTGGGCTGAGTTTGGCTTGAAATGAGAAATTCTCTGTGTTTTTTTTTTTTTTTTTTTTTTTTTTTAGGGTTTATTTTTAAACTAGTGGGAATCAAGAAGAGCAAAGAAAGAAAAGGATGAAAATAAAGACTAGAAGGAATAAATAGTTCAGATGACATGACAGAAGAATGAATGAAGAAAGGAGGAAAAAAAACACATTTGCAAGACAGTGTGTTTAGAAGTCAACACTTTTGACTTTAGTTAAATCTAAGGGATTAAATTTTTGTAAGTGACAAGCACAGTCTGTGGAGGCACACTGAATTCAATGAGGAATGGCTTCAGCCTGCCCTTTCAGAAGGAAATGCAAGATCTCACCTAGAAAGGACCAATTTCATTTTGTTTTCTTACAATGTTTGGTGGCTTCTGGGGGAGACTGTGCCATTTACAAAGCGGGCAAGTGCACTCCAGGGCATGGTCAGAAGTACTGGCTGCCCAAGTCATGAGGGCCCTGGGTGTCAGCAATAAAGAAACATGGAGGCACAAAAAAATTGCTTGAAATAATGCTTTCTCGAAAGCTGTTCAATAGAGCTCACAGCCTGAACTGTATTTTAGCAGGACATCACACCAGGTAATTAACAGGGGTCCCTTGTAGACAATGTCTCTAGCATACAATATTTTTATTTCCCAAATACTTAACCAGCCTAAACCAAAAAGCTGGGATAGGACCAAGAGGATCAAGATGGACAGACATTTGGGGCAGGCTGTGAAATATTTCCCTATTGTCTTGTGCTTCGTGAGCACAACATGGCTTGGGCAGGTTGGTCTGCACTTCTGCATCAATCTTAGGAGCTGTGGCCTTGAGGATATAATGTGCATTCTAATGGCAGAACTTCTAATTAAAAGCTAATGAATGTTTAAAATGCTAATGAATGTTTAAATAATTTTTAACATACATATAGCAAGTATGAATTGTATAGAAGCAAACACATAACCACAGGCAAGAACAGATACATACAAAATTATCTACCCACTCTGCAGGCATAGCAATGAGGCATAAGCAAATGGAGAAACCGTATGTTGAACTACATATGCAATCATTCATTTGCATGTGCAGCTACTCAGTGTCTATTCAAAGCTCTGCACACAACTCTGCTTGCTAAACCTTTGCCAGAATGTAGATCACAATATATCTTACTGATTACAAATAAAAAGAACCAAGAAAATCATGCCACCTGTGAGTCATTCTTTTCATTTCTGTTCTCACAAGTGTCAATAAACTTTTATGAACCTTTTATGAAGGTATGAAGCTTTGAACTCAGCTGAGATGCATGAGATCAATTTTCAGAAAAGCTGTGTGAATACTGCAGCTAGTAAATGTGCGTACATTCACAAGGTTTTCAAGAAAATTTCAAACTTTTCTCGCTAAAATACTTCAAGCACATAGCTGTTGACTGCTTGCCCTTTTATAAAAGCCCCTTCCCAGTGCACCTACGTCTGGCCATTACCATAAATGATGTTGTCAGCAGCTTGAAGCTATGACCTTTGGTGACAGAGTCCAGTAATGGACTAAACTATATTGCATTAACAAAAAGCAGTAAAATATGTAAATGAAAATAAGACAAATTTTTTTGTCACCAACATTCTGTTCATTTTCCTTCAAGGGCAGATTTGATTAGAAAATTTATCTTCAATTCTTAGACAATTCTTAGAAATTCAGTTTTGTTAATTCCCTGTATCTCTTCTGAACTCCCATTACTGCAAGGGAGCTGTGTGTATAAAGATATGAGGCTAGTTTTGCCAGGCAGTAGCAGGTTACTGAGACCTAGCATCAGTTTGAGAGTTACACTTAAGAAATAAACCAGTACTGACTGATAGTTAAAGAAATGATTGATTATACCTCTTTAATACAATTGAAGGTCACACTTTTCATGGAGCTCAGCAACCACAAAGAGGTCCAATTTTCTAACAGAAATTGATGTCATTAACTGTGTTTTCCAGGGCATTAAACACCTACTTTTTCTTTTCTTGTGTTGACCTTCTAAAAACCTGGCCCAAAATGCACATGTCGATTCTTGAGGTGACTTCAAATAAACCAGGGTTCAAAATAAAACCTCACTTGAGAACAGTTTCCTAGCCTGTTCTTTGTATAGGACTTACATATATTATGCTTGCTTATAATTGTGGTTGTTGTTAATAGTATGGACCACGCCATACAAAGGGCTCAGAGTCTTAAAAAGTCTTGCTAGATAACAACAACAAGACG